GGCCCCGTCGCCATAGCGCCTGACGCTGGCGAGGCGCTCGCGCTTCCCGGTGGCCAGTTGAGAACTTCCTCCCCCTGACCCCCCTGCTTCTGTGCCCTCGGTCGCCCTGCGCCCCGGTTAGCTCTCTCAGGAGTTCCCCCCTCGGTGTTTCTGGAGCACCAGCCGACGTTCGCAACGCACCGCGACAAATTGCGTCTTGCGCCGTGTAAGAGTTGGCGCGTGCTTCTAGCGCAGAGCCAGTTCCCTGCTGCATTTAGGAGTTGGGGCGTTCGTGCCGGGAAGCGTGAGGTCTGTTTTCAAATCCTTGCCCTGTTCAGGCGGAGACACGGAGTGACTGTTTTTGTGGGGTGGGAGTCGCGTCCTGGGCCCCCTGAAGTGCAGCTTTTCCAGCTGTTGGTTGGGGCATCTCCAGATCTCTGGTTGAGAATCGCAGCCTGTGTTGCAATGTGAAAACCTGTGTTGCCCGCCCGCGAAGCGAAGCTCAGCTCGCAGTATTTACTGACCTCAAGGGGGTGTTAGGGTAACTGTGTTAAAAAGGCTGAGGTGCTAGATGCCTTTTTTTAAAAAGTCCTGACTTAAGCTTACTTTTTTTTAGAATTTTTGAATGTTCTTCCTCTTTGATGTTTGGTTGTGATTCATTAAAGGATGAGTCTAGCTACTCTTAATAGAAACTGAAAGTTGAACTGTGTTATTTTTATTTCCCTTGGTGCATGGAAAGCAGCTCAACGAGCAGATTCCAACATCCACGTAAATAAGCATTCAGTATTTGAATAAGGATTTACTAACGTTTCGTTAACCCTCAAGGAAGAAAGGAAGGGTTTCGAAGAACTGGCTGTGGCAAGAAGCATTCGTGGGGTCCTGTCGGTTCTAAAACCTCCGGGTTTCCCCTCCGGGTACTCTCCTGGTCTCTGGCAAGGGGGGTGCTGGTCTTGGGTGGAGTTGCCTCGAGGACGGGGGACAAACAAAAGCAGCCAACCGAAAGAAAAACTGGGCCCGGGTTTCCTGCGGGAGTACAGGAAGTTCCAGCCGTAAAGGGTGACTCCCGCCTCCTCCGAGGGCTGCGGGCACGGTCTGAGGCTCCTTGCGGGCAACTGCCCGGCGGGCGGGGGCAACCGCGCTTCGCCCGGCAGC